CCCTCTATCTGCCACTTTTTCTGCCCAGCTTGGTCTGTGTTTAAGGAAATTGAATATTAGCAGAATTACTGACCAAACTGACAGGTGAAAATAAATGAAAAAAAGGAAATAAATAAAGGAAAAAACAATTCAGCCCTCACATTTAAGGATTGGTAAGCTGCAATATATATATATTTTTAAATAAAAATAAATGTTTGCTTTTAGGTTTAGATACATTTTAAGATAGTCTGACTCTATTGCCATCAGATGAAGAAAACTGCTATGTGCAGTCCAATTTTGTAACATAAACCATACCTCTATTATCTATCACACAGAGAAATCTGAACCCAGAAATGTTCAATTAAAAAATACTGACATCAAAATCACTCCAATGACCCTAACCAATGACTGGCCATAAATGACCATATGATAACAAATAAAGATACAAACATTTACTGGCAGGCCTGTTTTACCTGACAGGGGTAAAAAAAAATCAGATATCAGCAAGCAATTGGGAGAAACAATGTTCTAAAAATCAGGAACAGCTATATGTTCCAGTGCATATGTGCACACTGATAGCCCCCACCTAGTTTTCCATTGCTCCCCACTGATCTTAATTACCTGCCCTAAGTGGGCCCAGGTAAACTCAAATTCTATAGGAAAGTTTGTGGCAGATATGCATTAGGTAACATAAAAATATTCTAAAATGTTGGATAAAAGTGCTTAACAAAATGCTACATATTTATAGGTAGTATGTTTACATTTTTTACATACTTATGTTATATATTTTTAATTACAGAGAAAAAAGTGAAATATTATACTTTGAACTATAATGTGAACTAAGTATATAATTTGCCTGGAGTTCCATGATAGTAAAAAAAAAAACAGCTTTCTAATAGAGATATCAGTGCATCAGTGTTAAAGTTAAAGTCACACTAAACTCAGGAGTTAAATCTTAAAAATGCATTCACATACCTTAACCATTAACAAAAATGTAGCTTGTTTGTCTACCACTCGGCTGTAGATCATCAAATCATCTCTGAATTCATGCTGACATTGTCCTTCCTTCTGGAGGGGAGCTACTTTTTATATTACCCATGGTCCCTGTGTGTGTTGTAAAGTAGCCACCACTCCTGACTGGCTCTCGTGATGGACTACAGTCTCATGTATAGTTTACTGATTTGTATTGAGATTGTATTCCATCACAGGAGTGAGCTTGGAGCAGTGGCTACTTTACAACACACACAAGGACCATGGGGGACAAAAGTAGCCACCCTCCAGAAGGAAGGACAGTGTCAGCACCAATTCAGAGATGATTTGAGGATCTACAGCTGAGTGATGCACAAATAACCTACATTTCTGTTACTAGTTATGGTACCTGAATGCTTTTTTAAGATTTAACGCCTGAGTTTATTGTAACTTTAAGCTGAAATACATTTCCATCTCTGGATGGGTATTCCTTTCAAAAAATTTGAATATAAAAATTTGAATATATATATATTGCTTGGACATTTGAATATCAAAATGTCTTTCCTAAATGACTATAATCATGCTCCTGCCTTCATTGCCATTGTCACTTATTTCATGTTTAAATTTATGCTCTGGCTATGGTAGTTTATGCCGTATTCAGTTTAATTATTACAAGTAAAACATCAAAGGATGTAGTCAGATGCAGTTTTTATATGTTATCAGCCATTTTATTATTTCAGACTTAGAAGACACTGACTGCATAGCCTATATCTAGTATTAGTCAGCTACAAGTAGCAAAGATTTTTAAAATAGGACTTATATGTTGTACTTTTTGTATAAGCTAAACTAAATTTAAGTGTATTGTTGCAACATGTTCTAGTTTAAAATATTTTTCCTTGTTTCATGCCGGGCAATGTGTTCGTGTAGCACTTCTAGACATTACCTCTTACAGAGATGACAGTACTTCCCCTGACATTGCCCTCTTCTGCTTTTCTATTAAGAAGGACAATTCTATCTGTGTTCATGTATTATACAGGCAGCTTCTCATTTTTAACCTACTGAAAAGTTACAATGCTGCAGTCTGATCACTGGGGGAGAGGAAATTGTGCAATTGCTACTCCCTGCCTGCAGCAAACTGATGCCATAATCTCAAAATAGGCAATGTAATTTGCATAGAAGAAATGCATTTTATTTATTTAATGACAGCTTTTTTTAACTGTTATGTTGTTTCTATATATTGTGACATATTAGGAATATATTCATTGCCACTAGTTGTAAATTCAAATAATAATTATCATAATCTTCAGACCAATATAATATACTGTGTTCCACAGCTAAATATGCCAAACAGTCACAAGGTAATCCTGTCCTCAGTTTTGGAATTGATAAAGTAGACTCTCAGATAAAATAGGAATTAAATAGGGATGCAGTGGGAATTCGGCAAACCTATTTTTTAAACTCTGTTTCAACTCAGCAATATTGCCCCCTAGCCCATTTGTACATTCCTTCAAAAAGAATGTACTCATGACAATCTTGTTCCGTTGATGTTCAAGTCAATAGAAAGTGCAATTTCATGACATGTCTTATATGTAAGAGTATTCACCTGCTATGTTTTTCCTATATTGTCTTTAATTATTTGCACTTAAACACGAACTTAGGGCAAAGTAAAGCATTTACTCCATGCTTATGGTACATGGGGACAATTTTAAGGTCAGCTGCATCATTTCAAAGGATCCATCAGCATTTCAAAATGTTTTGACAATTAGCCTTTTTTAGCAGCTCTGTGTAATAATAATGATGACTTGTACAGTATATTATAAAAGCATGTTCAAAATAAAGAGCAACTTCAGCCAAAGTTGTTTTCCGATTCTTATTGAATTGTAATAGGTGTAATCCCTCATAGGGCTTTTGAGCCAAGCTTTCTATCACAGCTTGTGAGATGAGTTCTCAGTAAATTTTTATGAAGCATCCACTAGATGGCAGTTCACACACAGAAAATAGTGTGTGCTTTTCATTGGCTTTTCAATATAAAATAAATATATTGTGAAGCAGAATTATTCTGTTTTGGTGACAACAATAGGTAAGCTGAAAAGTCCCATTCTGTCACAGACATACTTGGGTTGGGAAGAGATCTCCCCTTAATGATCCCAGATATTAGTGAGAACTAACAAAAACCTACTAAAATATAGCCCAATACCTCTAAAACATACATACATTCACTTTGAGTGGATTTGCTCTTTCAAATAAAGAACATGACTTTGAAATAAGGTGCTTTTCCAATGCACATAGTACATTGGTAATAACATATGCTCACTGCTTATGCAACAGAGTGCTGCTAAGAGCAGAAAAGAACAAAAAAAAACAAGCCTCTTTGACCGTTTGGAAGTTCCTATGTGCATATATTCTAATGTGGTTGTCAAATATTATATTTGGCCAAGTTTTGTTTAATAATTGAATTCACCGTGGAATATTCTTAAAAGTACAGTTATGGGATCAGCTCTTTTGCTACTACCCCACGTTATACAGTCATTACTGTGTACATACATTATTTTAATAATGTATTTATACCACAAATAAAATGGTTAATAATTATTGTTTTCTAGTGGCGAGTGCTGAATATTTATCGACCACATATTTACATGTTAAAATCGTCTTCTCTTGTACCAATTTTGTTTTACATTTTGTGAGTTTTGAAGGAGAATACAAGACAAAAGGGCTTGTTCTAAATTAGCTTTTCTAGGTGTGATTTAGGTAGGGCTTAGGAGAAAAGTATTATAACTATGTATATTATTACAACTATAACAATAAACTAATAAAGGCAAATGTAAGACTGCATTTTTATACTGACAATGTAATGACAATTTAAATACTTTTGAATAAAAAATATGACTACAACAAAAAATATCTCTTTTTTTTCAAACTGTAGTTTTACATTTTTGGATGGAACAAAATCAGTGAACTATGATTGAATGAAACTTTTTTGGGGGTCCATTAATAACTGCACACTTATTTGGTTTGTTGCTTTAAACTGGCCCATTAAACCTTAATGGTCCCTCAATGTGAGTCCCCGGACAAAAAAATGCACCTGACATTTTTCCTGCAGCAGCACACTACAGCTCCACACATACTGTACGCTCTTCAGAGTGCATTAACAAATTAATAGCCAATTCAGGCCATTGAGGACAAGTCATGAGCCGATGAACTGCATATACATATGAAAACACACTGCAATATGTGCACAAGTGTGAATGTGGCCTAAATTAGAAAAATTCATAGCAGCAGTAAATAGTGATGAGCAAATGAAAACCAGGCAAATACATTTTGGTTTTAATTCTCCTCCGTTTTTGCATGAAGATTGGTTAATTCTGTAGAATAAATGATGATTACCTGGATTCCTTAATTACTTGACATTCTGCCAATCAAAACAGGTCTACATGTATATATTCAGGAGAATCGAAAAGTGAGAGTGAGCTATTTTTCTGATTTACTCTTCCTAGGTAAAAAATCATATTCCCACCATGGGTTTTAAAAAGGTATAATTCATTATTGTTAATAAATGAGAAATTATATTGGCAAAAAATAGTCAGTGGCAAGGATCAATGGGTACTCAGAGTGCTATACTCTAAAATATTCCACTGCAGAAACCTTATGTTACTTTAGGGTTTGATGGAGAACCTCCCTTCCTGTCAGGCACTTGTGAAAATAGAATTCAATGGAAAAATGTTTGAGATGGGAAGTACACTTCTTAAGCTCCACATTAGGTTGTGATACTCTGTATTGTGTAATTTCAGAGTGATGCATTTTTTTTTAATTACAGAGAACTCTAACAAAGAAATGTAGTCACCTATTGTAAAGTATGGGGGTGTTTTTTTAAGGCACTGAATGTGACATTGACCAAATATTTACTGCAAGTAAGTCTTCCTGGTGCATATATTTTACATTTCAGGGCATGGTTAACCACCTGTGAATGTCACATTCACTGCTTTATAAATATGCCTCTATGTGTTAAAACAGTTTGTTTTTTGTTAGTTTTTTTTTTTTTTTTACAAAATGAAAAAATTAAAGCTCCCATTTGACTTTGTCTTAAAATAACCAAATGTAATTTACAGTACATGATGCCTGCAGGTCTTTACATCATAATGCTCACAGTACCATTTTCTGAGTTCTGTATAATACTTGCATATTACCTTTTTTAAAATACTAACAATAAATACAAGTTCTGATTATATACTAGTTTCTCGTTCAGATGAATTAGTCTGTTCATTGGATTGCTTTTTGACTACATCAACCGAGTTTGGGGTGTTCAAAGCTTCAGCCTCTTTTGCTGCATTTTCTGTTTTATTTGCCAACTTTTCTCTTGCCAGTAATCTGTAATTGATAGCGTTCCCAATGAACAAATAGACACTTGCTACAATAACAATTACACCGCATACAAAGTACATGTATTTGTAGTTTCCGGTTATGTCCACCAACCAGCCTAAAAAAAAAAAAGAAAGAAAAAATAAAGCTAGTTAGTTTTTGGCTATACAATTCAGTAGTACTTCATTTATATTTTCTTTTACAAGTTATGTTGTTTTTTTGCATCTCGGCATATTCATAAGTATAAGGAAATATTTAGGAAAAATTTAAAATGGGAAATAATTGGGAAAGAACAATATTAAGAGGATGCCCACCGAAACTGTTATTGCATTAATTAGAAAAACAGGCCTATTGTTGCAATTTTAATGATAACATTCACATACAATAACACATAAGAGAAACACACACAAAAATATAACAGAATATAGTAAAAACAAAAAGTCAGATATATGAACTAAAGTTTCTAAAGATAAGAGATGGATTGCTGCTCTTCCATTTGTCCCTTATACATGCTATGGCTGCAAGACTTGTGTAAAAAAAAGAGGTAGGCTTTCAGGACATCATAGGCTCATGACTTAACACATTTATAGAATATTGTCTAGTATTTCAAAAGTGCCACAGAGTATAGCTCCATTACAGAGCTCTTGGCTGTCAGTGGAATCAATCCATCATATACGAAGCAATGTTAAATATGTCCTGCATGTCTGTATGTCACAGTGGCCCTTTTCTTGATAATGCACAAGTAACCAATTTGACACTTTCATACATTTGCCATTGGGTACAGACATAAACCTTGTATATTTCAGTGATTTTTTGTAATGCATTTCTTTTTAAAGTGATTTCTTTTTGTGCATAGCCATCTTGTAGTTGTTATGCTACTGTAAATGGAAATTTTCTTCATTATTTATCAAACTCAGGTTTCTCAACAAGCGGAAGACCTTAAGTATGGCGCTAGTGTGGAGATATTAGGCACTTAATTTAGTGTTATAAGCTCAACCCCTAAGTTAGAGAGCATGTGATGCGGATGGTGCACTAATCATTATTTGCATATATATTACTATATATTTTTCTCAAATTATTTATTTTCACTAAAACATTTATTTACAGTTTTCAATACCAGTGTAATAAAGGACATAAAGTTAACTACAACTTTTGTTGCATTACCACCTGAGATTAAAATGGATTGTTAAACCACCAAAGTGATGGCTCCAAAATGGTGCTTTTAAAAAGCAATTCTTAAATTTACCATTTACCAATATAAAATCCCTGTGGGACAAAGGAGAAATTTGTAAGCATGAAAGAAGAAGACATTCTTTAGAATAATATGCAGATTAAGATAGTGCAGACTCTTATACTATGGAAATTATTTTAAAAGTAAAATGTAAATATTCTTACCTCCCAGTGGAGGTCCAATTAATACTGGGCAACATTCCACAATGGTTACAAGTCCAACCGCACTGGAGAATCTTGGTGCTCCAACTAGGTCCGTCAACGTTTCAAAGAGAACACTGCTTACCATACCAAAAGCAAAGCCAAAAAATATTGCGTATATCACTAATCCTGTGTAGTCGTTAGCAAAGGGGCACATGATATGGCATATACCATTATATAAAATTGCAAAACTGAAAAAATATTGTATCCTTGGACGGACATACTTAGAGTTTGCAACCATTCCCATGCTAGGTCTTGCTACCATGTCAACAAAAGCCAATATAGACAGTAAAAAAGCAGCTGAATACTCATCAATTCCCATGTGTTTGGCATATGGTGCCAAGAAAACAATTGGAGCAAAGAAGCCCAGGAACATGATAACATTCCCAGATAGATATATAAGAAACCCCCTGTGTTTAAAAAGAGATAAATCTAGATATTTGTTAATATTCTGACATGCTGTCAACTTCTCTGCTTTCTCTTCATCTTTTTGTATAGCTTTAGGTCCAATGGGCCTCATGAGAGATCCAGCCACACAGCAATTTAACAGCAGTCCTCCTAACACTAAAAAACTTCCTCTCCATCCAAATTTATTGAAAAGAAACTGATTTAGTGGTGCTAAAGTACTTAAAAATACTGGGCTTCCTGCCATAGCCAGTCCATTTGCAATAGGCCGTTTTTTGCAGAAGTATTTTCCAATAATTGTTAGAGAAGGCTGAAGATTAAATGCTAATCCAAAACCTGCAACAGAAAAAAAAAACTTAGTCAATCAGAGATGCATTATTAACAAATGTAAATCAATGGCAAGTTACAAGAACAAAGTCAAATTGTTAGTTGCAAATATTGGCTTTTTTCTCTAGTTATAATGGAGGTAGAGTGTTTCACTCTTTTTCAACTTATATACTTTTGTATCTTGCTTTTCAACGTTTAGATGTGACAGTGATCAATAGTAATGTATTTTTGGTATATAAGTTGTACGGCACATTTCTCTGACCATTATTTTAGTTCAACATGCTTAATATTATATTGTTTTGAAGTATAGATGCATTTTACAAGTAATTTATATTTCATATACATATGCAAAATATATATTAGGGTTAGGCAACTTCGGCACTCCAGCCAGGGTGAAACCACAAATCTCATCATACATCTGCCTCTGGATGTCATGCCCGTAGTTGTCAGAGCCTTGCAATGCCTATTGGGACTTTTAGAGCCACAACAATTGGAGTGTCAAGGTTGCCTACCCTGAAATACACTCACTGGCCACTTTATTAGGTACACCTTGCTAGTACTGGGTTGGACCCCTTTTGTCTTCAGAACTGCTTTAATTCTTCGCGCCATTGATTCAACAAGGTGATGGAAACATTCCTTAGAGAGTTTGGTCCATACTGACATGATAGCATCACAGAGTTGATGCAGATTTGTCAGCTGCACATGATGATGATGCGAAGCTCCACCAGCCTGAACCGTTATACAAGGCAGGATGGATCCATGCTTCCATGTTGTTCACATCAAATTCTGACCCGACCATCCGCATGTTGCAACAGAAATTGAGACTCATCAGACCAGGCAACGTTTTTCCAATCTTCTATCTTACAATTTAGGTAAGCCCTTGCAAACTGTAGCCTCAGTTTCCTGTTCTTAGCTGACAGAAGTGGCACTTGGTGTGGTCTTCTGTGGCTGTAGCCCATCTGCTTCAAGGTTCAATGTGTTGGTGTTCAGAGATGCTCTCCTGCATACCTCGGATGTAACGAGTGGTTATCTGAGTTACTGTTGCCTTTCTATCAGCTTGAACCAGTCTGACCATTTTCCTCTGACCTCTGGCATCAACAAGGTATTCTTGCCCAGAGAGCTGCCGCTCACTGGATATTTTCTCCTTTTCAGACCATTCTCTGCAAACTCTAGAGATGGTTGTGGGTGAAAATCCCAGTAGATCAGCAGTTGCTGAAATATTCAAACCAGCCCGCCTGGCACCAACAATCATGCTATGTTCAAAGTCACTTAAATCACCTTTCTCCCCCATTCAGATGCTCGGTTTGAACTGCAGCAGACCATCTTGACCATATAGGCCTATGTGTATTGAGTTACTGCCATGTGATTGGCTGATTAGATATTTGTGTTAAGAAGCAGTTGAGGAAGTGTACCTATTAAAGCAGCCAGTGAGTGTAAATGATCCCTTTCCCTAACATTTACTGTCTTTTTTACAGTTAACCTGTCTCTCCCACTAACCTACCCTTACCGTTTAAACTAACATTTAAAGTAATCAATAAAACTGGTAGTCCTCACCTACCTGAAAATCAACACCTAAATTGCCCTAACAAATTAAAAATAAAATTTACAATTAACAAACAATACACATTTTAAAAAGCCACAAAATCTTAACAGAAAACCTATTCCTCCCTATACCCTTAACACAGCTGCATATAGCTATTTCAGGCTATTTGACCATCATCAGGGCAATGTATGGAAACCACAGCTTCTATGGATTAGGGCTTGGGACAGTATAACAATATATGGTGAGAAGTGTCTAAAACAATCAAAAAAGCCATCATCAGTGTGTAGCACAGTAAAACAGAAGGGTTTAACTGTCCTGAAATGAGGAATCATTATTTTATTTTGGGGATATGTGATGGAATGAGACATGTGAATGCCTTCTTTTTTTACAGTAGAAGGCTTTACTGTGCTGTGCTAAAATGTACAAAAGGTTGCAGTCTTCAAGTCAGCTCTCTCTCAAATTTAAATTAGAAACAGAAAAAGAGCTTCTCTTTAGAAACAGGAAGTGTTGCAAAATCTCTCCAGAAAAGACACGGACACAAAAAAAAGTACTGATTAAGTGCAATGAAGAAGCGTTTGAAAGTGCGCTTGATTTTATAGTTGTTTACAGTATTCTGCTCTGGAGTACTTATCCTTCATATGTGGTCAACGTGAATTGGAATCTCCCCAGCGGTAACGCAGACATCAAAAAAACCTAAACGTTCTTATCCTTTGTATAGAAAACATTGTATAGAAAAAGGGCCTTGCCTGGAATTGTAATGTATTATTTACCACTTTTACGGTAATTTGCACTTAAATCAAATCTTTATTGGTTTTACTGCTCTTTATAAATAGGGCACAAACTCAGATTGAAGAAAAGTTTTCTGAATATTAATTACTAACTACTAACACTTTCTGAATACACGCAACTTATTTAAGAGCACGCATTTCATATACATTAATAGATTTTCTGCTGTCTGTTGAATACATAACATTTTCTGGCTATATTGAATAGGCCACAGAGCAAACTGCAAAGTGCAATAACCCACAACAACTAGGTAAAAACTCTGATCTGACATCGTTAATAAATCTTATCGGCTGTCATGACCTAGAGCACTTTCAAATTAAGTCCATGCTTTTCTTTATTAAATAAAGCTATTTTTTATAATTTGCTAATCCTTGCAATTCATCTTTTTGAAAACTTAAAAAGTTACAAGCAAAATAACTAGTGTGCCATGATAAACAGGATTAATAAATACACAGGTAAAGGGAAAAATTATTATCACAGTGATACCATTAATTGGCTAACTAATAATGTTAAATGGCTAACTAATAATGTTAAATGACTAACTAATAATGTTAAATAGATACAAACTTTCTGAGCTCTGACACTATTTCTTCAGGTTTCATGACAGATAAAAAAAATATGTATTTATTTTTGTATTTTGCTACTTATTTTTTCCTTTTTTGTCACATCTGAGAAAAAAAGCTTTTAAGCTCTGAAAGCCTGTAGCATTTTAATATCTTTAGTGAGCCACTAAAAGGTATCATTGTGACAATACTTTCCATCTTCTCTACCTCTGTATGAATAATTACAAGCATTTATTGATTGCTTAATTTCATTGCATTTCTGTAAACAGTGAATGGTGACAAAGAGTAAAAACAATTAATTGAATACTTAATGGTGTTGCATTTACATGATAACTATAATTGTAGAAAAAAAACAAAACATGCTTTCAGTAGTAGTATAAATTGGAGGACTTTAGTGGTAGTGGTAACAGCAGCAACAGCAGAAGCACTAGAATCAGTAGAATGTTGGTACTTACCACCAATGACTCCAATACAAATGTATAACTGAAGGACACTGTTGCAAAATGAAGCAGCAATCATTCCCGAGGAGCATAGTAATCCCCCTGCTATTACAACTGGACGGCTCCCATACTTGTTTACCAGAATACTGCTTATTGGGCCTGTAACAAAAACAAATGATTTTAAATTTCGTCAGGGCATATAATTATTTAGCTTTTTTTTTTTTTACATAACCTTTCATGAACTCAGCTAGTATAACTATATGTAAATCAGATTTGACCTCATCGTATCCTTTTGTTCTTCCACAGTATAGAAACATTTTGAGAAAGGAAAGGGATGCAGGATTTAGTGAAGTATTTAGCAGGAGTTCACTTTTAATCAGTTTTAAGTATATTTTACACTCAGGTGTTTAGATCTTGTTAGAGTCCATGACAGCCTTAGCTATAAAAGTCATGCCTTGATACTGCATTTTTTTTTTTTTTCATTTTGCAGGCCAGCTTGTAACTGTGCTCAGGACCCCCTTTGCATTGATTTGTAAATAGCCCTAACCATGTGCACCTCTTATTTTTGCAAGTTTTAAACTGATCTGAGCAATATACACACACAGACACAAATTGAGGGGGAAAAAGGCAATGCTCTCTTGGTGATCTTTTTGCATTGCAAGAATTTTAACAAACTTTGTTGCAGCTTCTTGCCTGCTTCTGTTCTGAAGATATAGCAGTTAGCTCCACCATTTACAAACTGATTCCTGAATGGGAAGGTCTGGGTTCATTATAATCAGCTAGTGGGCTTTCCGTGTTGTTATGAGGAAAGTTGCAGTGTCTGCCTCCCTTTAGTAGTAATTAATAGTGATGCACTAAAATTGAGTTTTGAGACCGAAAATAAAACATTTGTCATACCAAAACCTATATTTACTTTTTTTTTCAACCTTTTTAAAAAATGTTAAATTATTTGCTAATTATGTTATTTTTATTTATTTTTCTTATTTTACTTTAATGCTGGGGGCTCTAAGGAAATATCAGGGGTCTAAACAGACCCCTGATATCTCCCTTTTAAAATAGAAAAAGAGATTGAGGACACAATCTCTTTTTCTGCAGCCCCTGTGATGAATGAACAGGAAGCCTCTATAGTGAGAGTTCCTGTCCATTCATACATTGTGGATATAGTGTAAGTTACTACGTCCACAATCATGAATGAACATTAAGTGATATAGATCCCTTCCCATTCATTCATAACTGGGACATAGTAGGCATACAATGTCCAGTTGTTTACAAATACTCAACGATCAGCTGATATACCGCTCTCCATCTCAAATTGGCTGTCACAGAGGGCAAAGCGGGTGGTGGGGGAGGAGAGCTCCGCCTCCTGTGACAGATCACATCACTCTGCTCCACTCACCAATCTCCATTCTGATACAGGAGGCAGAGCCGGAAAGTGTGGGAGGAGAGCTCCGCCTCCTGTAACGATGACAGCTGTCACCGAAGTTGCACAGACCGGCGCCCAGCAGTGACATTTCTGGGTGTGACAACAACTGTGTACGCAATGCCTCCAGGTTGCCATATTGTATTACATTTTTTGACAGTTTTGACAGTTTTAGAACATTACAGCAGCTGCAGTTTTAAATGGAAATGTAATTTTTTTAAAGTAGCATTTCCCTTTAATGATTTGTTTCACAAGACAAATTAGTAATGGCTTGTTCATAGCATGGGGGGAATTCAATAAAGCATGTACACCACATTTCTGGCACTATGTTCCCTTTAAAAACAACCTTTCGCTTCTTCCTGAAAGCCTTTCAGTTTCAGTTGCAGTTCAGACATGTGTGTCAGATTCAGGCAGTTCATATTACCACAAAGTTAAGAACCTGTCGCTATGGCTGAGACAGAATTAAATTATGAAATAAGAATTAAGAATTATCTCCAGTACACAGATTAGGAAACTGTCGGTAATTAAGACCGTCTCTGATTTGCTGTGCAGAAAGAGGCCATTGGTCAGATTGGGGTATGAATGTGCTGGGAAGCTGTCATGAATGTTGTTTCCTTTTAAGAATCTCCTTAGTACATTATCTGATTGTTTATATCTCCGCATTTTAGTTTGGGAGTGGAGATTAGAAAAATCTCACTCTACTTAGATTCAATCTGCTAGCAGTGAAGGGCATAGACTGCAGAAAATCAAAGAGCAAAAAAAATAGTTTGAGCCCTCCTTTCCCTTAAGTGGACATCACTGCTCTACATATGTGCATGTCTTCATGTCACTTTACTACTTGGACATAATTTGCCTTTTTTATACTTTTTCTCTTCCAAATCTCTCCCCTCACAATTCCCTTTCCTTCAAGTGGGCCCTGTCAATACCAGAACCTCTGACATCAATTCTGTGACATCACTAGCACCAATGAATCCAGTCCTATTCCAAAACATGTAATGGGTTGGTAATACTTTTGGTATTTATATCTTCTGCAGAGGAGCTCAGATGATAAGCAGTAGAAAGGATGATCCTCATCTACCACTGTCCGCCAAGTCCTTAATGTGGAAACTTCTGTATCCCCATGTATGTGTTTGTCCTTTTGGACTTCACTGCAACACCACTGGCCATCCAAACAGTATATTAAACGAGTTATTTCTGGAATTAGCCAGGTACAGTGAAATAGAATCAGTTAAACCGTATTTAACGAGTTCAATATTTTCTGCTTAAATTGCATGTACGGCTAACTTTTTTTTTTTTCGTTTTTTCGTATGGAAGGTCTTTTTTCGTAAAATCCTTATAAAGTTATGTTTTGCTACTGATGTCCTGCTAGGAAGATTATCATCTTAGGGAGAGGTCACAGGAACCGGTGTCCCTGTAAATTTCACTCTGGTCTGCTCTGATGACAACCATACATTTTTGGATTTCATCTCACTTTCTGTCTCAATAACAATGGTTGCAATAACAAATAAAAAGGGTGAAAGACCCTTCCCTACACTATCTAAAACAAAAAAATGCTCTTAATACACTTTAAAGTATATCACAATTTTTCTGGAAAAAATGATCTCAACAGTCAAGCCTGGCAGAATCGCCATTACAAGCTACTCTACTTGGCCCAATGGATGTATAACAACATTCTGTGGAATAGGAATGATGTGATACCCCTGTTTCCCCGAAAATAAGACCTACCCCCAAAATAAGACCTAGTACTATTTTTGTGAATTGCTAAAATATAAGACCTACCCCAAAAATAAGACCTAGTTGTGACCATTCCCAGGGCCGGTGGTGGCATAAGGGAGAACCTGAAGAGCCGCGGGAGAGAATCAGCGGTGCCAACGAAGCCAGCGCTAGAGGAAGCGAGGCGGCACCTCTATAGTGCCGGCTCCTGTCACAGGCGGAGTGATACCACATGCACTCCGCCTATGGGGAATCCATAATGAAAGTGCGCTTCGCTCATTCTGGCCAGCGATTGGTTAGCAAATTGCTCTTGGAAAGGTACGGCACCCCTGATTGCCCTGATCACCATATTTTTGTACATGAATACATGTAGACTGTTGTACATGAATAAGTGTGGATTGTACATAAAAAATAAAAAAAAAGAACTACCCCGAAAATAAGACCTAGTGTGTTTTTTTGAGCCCCAAAAAATATAAGACAGTGTCTTATTTTCGGGGAAACACGGTATATATATATATATATATACACATATATATATATATTTATATCCATCCAACAAAGTCAATCAGACTTTGCTGCCTACATATGTAAAAGGGACATGCTAACAGGAATAGATAAGAGAAAGGCGTCTTCATCAATTTCATCTATTGCTCCTACTTCGGTGTCCAATTAGAGGCTAGGGGCAAGAGGGTGACTTTGCATTGCCTAACTACAGTAAAAAAAAAAGAAAAGAGGCCAACAATTTTACTGTGCTCTCTGGCATGGCTGCGTGAATCTTAGGGTTGGCTGGGCAAAATTACAAATTCTGTTTGTTTGTTCAGCTCTAATAATCATTCATTTTAAACCATCCAATGTCACTCTCACCTATATCTCTGCAAGTTATTTGCTTTTAATCTACCAAGTGATTGCTTTTGCTGCCTACACCCCTATATTCATACTCAATCACCTTTGTGAATATAACAAATTATTGAGACCACTGTTTTATATTTCTCACCAAGTCTCATTATGCACTTTGCAACAAATTGCACTAATGATTTGACTTTGGTGACCTTTAGTTACTTTGCTGCATTCATTTATCTCTCTGTGGAAATAAATACACAAAAGCCATCCAACAAATATGTAAAAGAATGATAATTATGTTTATCACTTATTTCATATTGAGAATTCATTATATAAAATTACAGTAAACCATCTGGTTTTCCATATGGTGTTCTGGCTCATCCTGGACTATAGGTTTAGCAGAGATTCCAAAATTAATAAATCCCAACCAACAATTAAAATGGGAAAGTGATGAACATGAAAGGAATATGAAGTATAGCTAGTTAAACTGACATTTAATTTTAGCAAACAGACAAATTGTTTACTGAAGGATGTCTGCAGGACATCACAGCATGTGTAAGCAAATATGTTTAAATAAGTAACATAATTTTGAGAATACAAATACATGCTATATCTGGTGCACTATAACCAAACCTGGTGTGTTTATTTAACCACCTCAATGCCAGCATGTTACACCCCCTTCCTTTTCAGGCCATTTTTCAGTTTTTAGTGTTGTAATAGTTTGACAATTACTCTGTCATGCAACACTTTCCCCAAAATAATTTTATATCTTGTTTTTTTAACTGATAGAGCTTTCTCTTGGTGGTATTAACCTTTTTTTTTATTTTTTACTATATTTTTTAAAAGGAAATGGTTTGCCATACTTTCTGTTAAAAAAACATACGTAACAAATAAACTTTCTTCATAACGTTTGGTCAAAATGCATTCTGCTACATTTCTTTGGTAAGAACCCCCCAAAACAAATACATGTAATGTATTTAGGGGGTTATTAAAAAAGCTGCTGTAGGCAGCTGAGTGAATAACCGACCCGAAGTGAAGTGAGCCCAACGCTGTTCGGCTATTCACTTCAGGCTTGTACAGCTGATTTCAGCTGTACATCGGCTGAAATCAGCCCTGCATCGGCTTGCTTCGGCTGGGTTCGCATCAGCCGAACATGCCCAGCCTGTTCGGCCGACCTGAAGTGCAG